GTTGTCAGTCTGACACTCGCCGTCTGGCTGGGTGTAGGATGGGGCCTCACTGTCAGGAGAACAATCTTGTGTCAGGTGCCTGGGGTGCTCCTGGGCTGCTGAGCTGGCTGTCTCCGGGTTGCCCCTGACCTGGTCCCCAGGCCTGTCCTTCTGTTGGAATTACTCAGCCCAGCACCCGGGCCCACACCCCCCCCCCCCACGTGCATCCTCTGGGGCCTGGGCTTCTCCTCCACAGCCACGCAGGGCGCCTGCTCCGAGCCTGCGGGTCCGAGATGCCAGGTCCCTGCCCCAGTGGCACCTGCTAGATGGTCACTTCAGGCTCTGGGGCTTTCGTGCTGCAGACCCGTCTTGAACTGCTAAGCTGGACTTGAACTTGGGGCTCAAGCTGGTGGCCCCCTGAGTTCCTGGGGAGGCGAGCCCTCCAGGGAACTCCTACCCAGTCCAGCTCCCTGTTTAAGAACCTTTCCACTGGGTCAGGGAGACCAGAGCAGAGGACCAAGGAGACAAAGCCGCAGTGACCCAGCACTTTCGGGCGGGGCCCATGGTCCCCTCCAGTTACTCTCTCTGGCCCTGGCTTCTTCACTCCAGACCTTCAAAGCAGCGACAACACACAGCTTCTGCATGGCTGGCTGGTGTTGACCACAAAGCACACCCCCAGCACTAAGGTGCTGGGTGGGCAGAGGGTGAGACTTGGCCAGAAGGTCCCACGAAGAGAGAGGTCGAAACGGGCAGCTTCGATCATCGTGGGCAGTGTCACCGCTTTGTCTCAGAAGACATCTTTCGTGGTTTTCAAACTCTCGGGGAGGGAAAAAATAAAACAGAGATCAAACAGAATGGAAATCCTCCTCCGGGTGAGAACATTTCACGGGGGCAGGGTCTGCCCCTGTGTCATCTTTGGATTTGAAGACATGGGCATCTCTTTCTCACATTTCCTGTTTAATTTTTACGATGGCTTCCTTCAGTGATCTATTCAGTGCCCACAGGGCCAGACTAAGGCCTTCGCGTATCTTTACACGGCATTTCCCAATCTTCACAACAATTTTTGCAGGGTAAGTCCTAGTCCCTCATTTGTTTGAGCAACAAATATTTTTGTGTTTAGTGGTGGTTGTGAGCCTGGCTTTGAGCTGGGGGAAGGGGATAGAGCAGGGAAGAAGCCATTTGATTTCCCTTCCCTTGTCGGATGGGGAAAGACAGACAGACTAACAGGTCATCAGAAAGCCGTGTTATGTTCTGGCAGACTCTTCAGGGGCACAGACTTGGGAGGGCGGTGGTCACACCTCTTGATCTAATCATCCCACCTGAGTGCCTTACCTGTGGAAATACCTGCACAGGATGGAGAAGCTCTGTGGCAAGGACAGCGATTAACAGCGCTGTTCTAGGGGCGGAACGTTGAAAAAGCTCATTGGTCAGAGGATGGCTGAACCGTGTTGTGTACATTAAATGTTATACATTAAAATGAACAAAGCACATCTGTACATGTTCACACAACTGTCGGTGAGCTATTGTTAAATGAAAACAAGCATGTTGTAGAAAAATCTGTATAACAGGAACACAGTAGCTAAAATAATAAGTGTAAAGAAAAAGGAAAAAAAAGCTTTGCCAGGGTCACACGCGATTCTCAGTGCTGGTCCCCTGTAGGCGGAAGGTGGGAGAGGGTCTCATGGGGACAAGTCTTATGTGTTACTGTGTTACTCCATCTTGTCAAAAGAACCACAAGCCCATTTGGAGTTTTTTAAACAGCAAACGAAAGGTGACAGGGGCTGGGGCGGAGTGATGTGCAGAGTCCTCTGGGGACACGGAGGGCCCAGAGTGGAGGTGGGAGACGGGCAGAGGGTGGCGTGGTGAGTTCGGGATGCACCCCAGAGTGGAGGTGGGAGACGGGCAGAGGGTGGCGTGGTGAGTTCGGGATGCACCCAGTCAGCCTCGGGAGGGGCTCGGAGGGGCCGAGGGCTTCCTGCCGGGAGCATCCTGGAGGATCCCCGGTGGGCGGCGGCAGGGAGCTGGCCACCTCCACTGCTTTAACTGCTCTGAATGCTCCTCACCTGTCACTCTGTCTCCCTCTGTCCACGCCCGTCACCTCAGCTCCGACTTCCTATTTCTCACCCGGACAATTGCCAACACCCTCTTGCGTGTGTCCTGGTGCCTGGTCTATACCCCAGGTCCTCCTACCAAGACTGTCCTTTGCTTTGCTGAGTGACCTTGTAAAACGGCAGTTTTGGCCCCGCTGTCTTCCTTCCCCAGCATTTCCCATGATCCCTCACACTGTCCGGGGCCAGTGCACCTTTCCAAGGCTGAGAGCCACCCTGCCCACCTCCCCTCCTTCCTCCCACACTGACTCTCATGTATGTCAGCCAGGACCTTTGGCATGTCTTAACAGATGCCACAGTTCTGACCCAACGAGGGGTGGACATAGGTAAAGAAAGAAGACCTGTGATGTGGGGTGGGTAGTTGTTGGTCGTTGGCCTATAACCTTGCAAATATTGTGACTAGTTACCCGCCTGTCTGGGAGTTGTGTCCATAATTCCATCTTATTTTGAGATAAATTTAGAAGTGAATACATTTCGGGGAAAACAGCCTCCCTACTGTCTTTGGGGACATTTTCTTCCGTAAATATTCCTGAGTGGGTGTTTCTGATGGTGGGTCGGTCCCCGCTCAGGGGGCGGGAGGGCCCGGCACCGATTTGTGTACTGGTCTCTCCCAAATCCGGACGGCTCCACCTACACGGAATACACGGCGTTCTGAAAACACAACATGGGCCAAACAGCCCGTTTGCTTTGGCTGAACTCAGAGCGAACGGGTGGGCTCCATGTGCCATCAGACGGACAGAGAACCGAGGGTCGTCCTCGGAGCTGCTCCGGGAGATGCTGCGTGTTGTCTCGCCACCCTCCTCTGCTCTGAATTCGTGTCTTCATTCTTCTTATAAGGGGTAGAAGGCGATGAATACTCCCTTTAAAGAAATAACGAGAGCCAGTTTCAGCTTCTAGATTTTCAGAAACGTTTGTACTTTATAAACTCTCTTGTTGAAGGAGGGAAGTAATATTAGCCCTATTGTCTGGCTCCATCTGGTGGATGAATATATGGAAGAAACCAAACTATAGCCTTTTGCCGTGGCACTTGGGCGGGGGCAGGTTGTGAATAGCGCTGGTTTTTGGTGGCAAAAGGAACCGGAGAGGCATTTTTGTCTTGTAGGAGCTGATCATTGTTACGGAAAATCTCCCCAAGGAATGAAATACGTTCTGTTAAAGTAAATAACGGCAGTAGTAAAATACATGGCAATACTATTTTCTTGGACTGAGTGGTGAGTGTCAAGCAGGGTCAGAGGCAGAATCCACTCCCAGCTTTAACACGGTGCCGCATTCCCATGAGACGCGTGTAAAACCCAACACTATAGTAATGCAGGAGGCTCAGTGTTGCTCCCCAGATTGTCCCAGAACCTTCCAGAAGCTAGACTTTTCACTCAGTGATGCACAACGTTGGGATTTTAGCAAATGATCATTTTAATCTTCAGTCGGTTTATTTTGATGCCCTTATTATTTGCTTATTTGTAATCTTCTGAATCTACGGACCCCCTGAAGTTGCTCTGTTTTATGGGAAGTTAACTGGTATCACATTCTACCTGGGTGGTTCTTTCTTGCTTTTACATCTAACGTTGAACCAGGTTCAGCCAGGAAGAAATTGCATAAAGGCTTTCAATTAAATTTCATTTGTCTGTAACACTAATTCCATTTTTATGATAATATAAGTTCACTTTTATTCAGCGAAGCATTGGGTGGGCATTATCATTTCCCCTTCATTGTGAGGTACTCTCTTCTTCATTTTGGTTTATTTTTGTAACGTGAAAAGTACACGTGGTCTTCTTACCAAGTCTTTCAAAGAGATGCTGGTAGATATGAGTGGGGAGGAAGGTCCAAGTGCTAGATACTAACGCTGCCACCGTGGCTGCGTGCATCTTCTGAAGAAGCCTTTCAAACAGGCACGGATAAGCAAGGGGAATTTAAGAAACTCTTTTTCCTGAAAACACTCAGAGTGAGAATAAGGGAATTTTCATAGAGTTGGAGATGTTCAAGCATAGCCACCATTGAAATATTTTCCATGTGTTATTTTCTTAATCCTTATGATAATCTAATGATTATTAATAATCTGTTACCGTATGCTGTATCCAGATGAAAAAAAAAAACCAAAAAAACCCCGGAAGCCCAGAGAAGTAGTTTGTCCAAGGTAATTTGGCTGATAGGTGGTAAGGGCAGGATTTGAACCCATGCGATGTGGCCCAAGAGCCCCTAGGCTAGATCACTTTGCTGTCCACTGGTGCTTTTTGTGATGATGGATGTCTGTGTGGCTACTGAGCACTTGAAGTATGAGCACTTGTAGAAGCTAGGAAGTTTTGTTTAAAATTTAAAAAATATTTTTTATTTATTTTTAGAGAGAGGGGACTGGAAGGAGAAAGAGAGGGAGAGAAACATCAATGTGTGGTTGCCTCTCGTGTGTCCCCTACTGGGGACCTGGCCTGCAACCCAGGCCTGTGCCCTGACTGGGAATTGAACTGGTGACCCTTTTCCTCACAGGTCTATGCTCAGTCCACTGAGCTACACCAGCCAGGGCTGTTTTTAAAATTTTAATAGTCCTAAATGTAAACAGCCTCCTGTGGGGGTGGCTCCTGTTCTGGACAGTCCAGCTTTATCGGAACACTGAGGTTCTGTGCAAGCAGAGATGCAAAGCCTTGAGGGTTGCCCAGTCCAACTCCTTGTTTTACTGATGGGGCAAATGCCAACCAGATGGGCCAGTAACCTCAAAGTCAGAAAGTTAAGCAAAGGCACCAGGCTATAGCCCAGGTGTTTACACGGTCCAGGCACAGCTCTCCCCATTCTGCACCCCATCGGCACCTGCAAAGTTATGTTTCTGCTGCCGTTGATAATATTAGGTTGTAAAACTACTGTTTTGAGGGAAAAGCTTATCTTTTCTGAAATACACATTCAATGAACACTTCCTTCTTTTCGCAGGTGATAGAAACATTATCTCGACTTTCTCGAACACCGATAGCGTTGGCCACAGGGATCAGGTAAGCTTGTTTCTCAGTGGTTCATGTTCAATGTAACGGTTGCTTGTTGAACAGTTACTTTTGGCAAAGCACGTTGCGTATGAGGACTGCATCTCATTCATGCAGACGGCCCGGTATATGAGCGTCGAGAGTCATGTAAGTGCCCCATGCACATTTGAGACTCACTGAGCTGGTACAGACTTCCTCGCAGAGTTGGATGAGACACGTGGGCTACACATTGTTCTCATTTTACTGGTGACTGTCATTGATATGGCTCTTGCTTTTTAAAAAAAACCTTCCTCCAACATTTCTATCCATGTGATCCATCAGGACAAACATACATGCTAAAGTAAGTATTTAAAAAGATATTGTAATACATTTATTTCCTGTAGACTGTAACAATAACTCACAGCTTTTAGGAGGTTAAGAAATAGGCAGGCAGATGTAGAATGACGTGTACAAGGATGTGCACTGACTGTTTGGTACTCGGTGAAGAACTTGGAAGTGAATCAGTTCGATGACTCACACTGTCTCCGGGTATTATGCAGTCAGAAAGCACGGGAAGGTACTGATGTGTGCGTCGCGTGGGGCCTTTTCTGTTTACAGTACTACCTACTTAGGTTAGAGCAGATACCAGTGATATTACCGACAACATTAGAAATGAAGACAAACAATCTCAGTCGCCACCCAGCCAGCCTGCGTGGAAATGGAGTGGATTCTGTTTTTCACCTCATTTCCCCGGAGCTCCATTCTTCCGTGTCCAGGCACGAGGGGCTGTGCCCTGAGCCTCTTCCTCGGCCGCTTCCATTTTTCCGTGCACAGCGCACATTCAGGTTCTGCGGGGGGAGGGCCCACGCACGTCTCACAGGGCCGATCAGCTGGGCTGGGCGGCCCAGGGCCTGGGTACAAGCACAGCGACCTCAGGGAGGACGCCCTGCAGATGCTTTCTCGGAAATGGGCTCCGGACTCAGCAGCTTCCTGCAGAAGTCGTCCGTAGGCGGGATAAGGGTTCAGCACCTTGTAACTTGCTCTTCCGTACACGCTTCCTTTCTGTGTTAGCACATATGTTGGGTTGTTACATGTAAACAGCACATTCTGAACTAGCACGACTCTAATTTTGTGTATTTATGTCTTTTGGATTCTGAAAGGATATACATCAGAAGAATTTTTTCCTTTTTAATGATTCTTATCTACATTTTCAAAATTTGTTACAGTGGACTTGTATTGGTATAAGAGTCTACATTTGTTTTTAAAACGCTTTGGAAACTTTGGCATTTCTGACACGTTTTAAGTTACTTGGAAAAAAATGTAGGTATCTCAAATGCCTTAAGTGTTAATCCATAAAGTAAGGTAAAAAAATCTTTTCATATTAAATATAATTATTTCATAATTACCTAGTGCTTATTTGTTATTTTGATGGATCTTCTTGTTATGAAATATGACATGCTGACTATATGTAAAAAAGAGTAAAACTTTGGCACCGTAGTCTAATTACTGGGATTTTTTAAATATAATTTACACCATTATGTGAATGTCTTAAAAAATATCAGAGGAGCCTGAGGCAAACTGGGCAGCCTGTGGCTAGAAGCAGGGATCAGTTAAAGTGATTTTTTTTGACCAGGGGACAGAGAAAACCCCCTACTCTCCCTGAGGTCCCACTGACTCATGTATCCAATAATTGAAAAATGGAAAAATATGTAACTTAAACACCTGAAAGTCTAAGTGAAGACAGTATATCAGAGTCAGTAATCACATATATGTCAGTAATCATATATATTTCAGTAATCATATATTTATGGCATTTTCATCCCTAATCGCTTTCACTGTCAGGTTGTTACCCAAGTATTTCCCAAGGGTGATTACCGACCACTCACTCGCCCATCGGAGCAGAATCCGTAGTGAAAGGAGCTGGTGTCCCAGGGAGGCCTGAGCTGTGAGGGGGGAGCTGCAGGGCTGTGGCTGGTGGGCATCAGCCCAGCACACAGTAGGCCCACGGGCGCTCAGAGGGCTGCACCGACCAGCAGAAATGCTGCCGGTGACATAGGCCTCAGGTGCCATGGCCTCCCTGGGGGACAGGCACGGCGTCAGACATGGCAACCGGCCTGACCGTGCTGGTGGCAGACAGGATGACACCTTTCATGAGAGGTGAATGCCCCTCCCAGAAGTTGCTTTTCACCCTGTTTCTCTCCCCCCCGTAGGCCGTTCCCGACGGAGGAAATCGTCAGTGATGAGGACGTCTACAAAGCCCTGCCTGACTTAATCGAGTACGTTGGGCGTTTCCGGCATCATTTTTGCATCCTCTGTGGATGGCAACTGTGGGTGTTAAAACAGCCCCGTGGGGGCGGGGGGAGGCTTCATGATTAAGGTACATAAGAGTCAACCTCAGACTCGTGATGGAAAGCAGGACAAGAAAACGCACTCCCCTTGGCGTTTGGTTGCCGTCCTGTGGCCCACGGAGGGCGACACCCTGCCGTGATGTGAGGTTCTGAGTCTCTCAAAGGCGTGGAGGGGTCGTAGAGAGAAGCGTGATTAGACAGCTGAGGAACAGTGCAACAAGAGTGGACTCAGCTCCTGGGGCCGGAGGACCGGTGGTGCACACTTCGTGGGTTCAGGGACGGGCAAGACCAGTGTGTGCTCGAGTTATTCGGGGACGCTTCATTAGACGGCACTGGTCTGAACAGAGACCCCGTTTGGGCTTTATTATTTATTTAATAGTCGGGAGAGGCCGAAGGACCTGGCAGCCCATTGTCTCCTGCTGATGGAGTGACTCGTGCAGATGAGAAACGTAGAACCCACTGCTCACTCCCTAAGGATCTGAGGGCAGAGACCGGGAGCATCTGTGAGACCTGCGACCTAGAGGGGACGAGGCTCCAATGGGGGGGTGCAGATGTCGTGCAGGTTCACCCGTTGTCCACCCTACACACCAGCACACTGAGCTGTCTTGGTGCAGGACCTTCTCTGTCCCTACTGCCCGTATGGCTGGCCCCTCGCCATCCAAGTCTGTGCTCAGCTGTCCCTCTCCAGCGAGGCCTTCCTGGCTCCCCCGTCTGAAACGGCCGCCACGCACCCCTGGCTCTGTGTTTTCACGGCACTCACCGCTGCCTGACACAGGCTCTGTTGGCTTCACTGGTCCTCTGTCTCCCCACTGGAACAGCTTGGTGAGGTTGGGGACTTGACCTTGTTCTTGGCTGCCTTCCTAGAACTCCAGAATCTGGGTGTAGTAGGTCCGAGACAAATATTTGTTTTTGGAACAAATAAGTCAAAGCTGCCTTAAGGGTCTCCTGTTGGTCAGGCCTCATGCTTCCGGTCAGAGCCTTGCAGTCCACGGAGCTAAGTGCCTGTTTCTTGCTAACCATGACCCACCCGTGCACGATCTCGTGTGATTTGCATGATGGAGTTGTTACTAGTACCACCACCCTTTACACACTGAATCTGGAAAAGCTAAGTAACTTGCCGAAGGTCACATCACTAGTACATGGTAGTCTTTGCACTTGAACCAGACCGTTCTCATTCCAGACTGGAGGCTCTTACTCACGGTGTCCTGACTCCCAGAAGCCCCGCCCACCTCTCTGAGGACTGTCCATGGGAAGGCAGGGGAGCAGTGGCTGACGGAGCCACCGGGGCCCTGGCAGGTGGCTTTTGGGTGGCCTTGGAGTCATATATGTTGAAGGTGTGCTGAGAATAGCTTCTTCTCTCTTCTTCAAACCTCCAAGAACTCACTAATCTTAAGCCAGATAGTTGCCGATTGTCTCATTGAACTGGCTACCCCCTTCCTAAAGTGACTGTAGGATTGCTGGTCATGAATCAAACCCTTTGAAGCATTGGGAGGAATGTGTCGTTTCTAGTGCTGTGATGATGTGCCTTCTCATACCCCACCAGCTGTCACTTCCCACTGATGTTTACAGTCTTCCCGCATCTTGTTCTGTGGACGAGTCTGGTGAGGATGCATCCCTAGCTAAGCCTGGAGGAGATGTGGGCTCCTGAAGTGGCTGCTCTGAGATACCAGCTCGTGCTGAGTGGCGTGGTCCACTTTGGCTGCCCATCTGATGGTCTTGCAGTCCAGTCGCGGTGTTTGTCATGCAAATGCTTGCTTCTGAGTTGGCTCTGACGGCCTGGTTTTCAGTGGCAGCTTTATTGTGACCTCTGTGGGCTCATGTACTTAACTCTAACTTCTGGGGGTGAATCGCCCGAAGGGAAGCCCTGGGAACCAACTTGGGCCTGCCCCTCGCTGCGGAGGGAATCCCTGTGGCCTTGCGTAGAGGGGAGCAGAAGCAGGGCAGACGCGGGGCTCGTGGCTGCGTTGGTGGCGTTCTCTCATCTCCTGGCTGGTGATCAGGGCCGGCCACGCCCACGTACAGGTGGCCCGGACACGGGAAGACAGACGTGGATTCACTGACCACGTGAAGTATCGCAGCTCAGCCCTCCTTCCCCGCGGCTTTATTTTACACAGATCACAGATTATTGACCAAACTATTGGCCACAGAAGCAGCTTTCGTATGGGATGGAATAAGGAATCCCAGGCTGTTCCAGCACCGCCTCTGTGTATGTGTGACTCCTACAATTCTTAGAGAAAAATCTGTGAGAATTCATTCATAATGTTTCTCTGCTCTCATGGGAAATAGTCAAAAGCAGGACTTCAGCGAGATGAGATTTCTTGTGGCCGGGTGCGGGGGCAGGCAGAGGGGAGAAAGGGGTATTTACAGGGTCACAGGCAGGAGGGGAGAGATTAGAAATCCAGGAGAAATGGATTTCACAGCCCCTCTTCCTCCAACAGGATCCCCTTTGAAATTCCTTCATCATTTCTTATCTCAGTCAGCCTCCTCCTGAAAGGTCAGACTTGCCTGCACTTGGATGAGCTGTAGAAAGTGCTCCAACCGTTTAACGTCCTTTGGCGAGAGGGCCTGCCGACACCCTTCAGGGCAGAAATTCTGGAACTGCCGATGTGACTCCCGTCTCCCCAGTTTTCCAAAGCAGGAAGCTGAGAGGCGGCCTGCCCTCGTCTCTCCTCTCTGCCTGGTTTGGGTGGGTCACCAAGCCTGGCTGACTCGGTGACACTGCCTCCTGGGGCTGTTTCTGTGTCCTCGTCTGGTCGGGGCTCCCATTCTCTCTCCCCCCGAGTCTTTCATTTCTTGGCTCACTGACCCCCCTGCTGTGTCCTTGCCCCTGCAGATTCTCTCCTGTAACCCCCTGCCGATTCCCACGTGCAGGTTCCCTGCTCTTTGTGCTTCCAACTCTTCCATCCGGGCACCCCTCCCTTGCCCGGTCACACCATAGGGGACACCCCTGCTCACTAGCCAGGCTCTGCACCCCTCTCTGCCTCCGCACCCACCGGTGTCCTTTCTCTGAAGCAGCCTTCACCTCCTCCTTCAACCGGTCCCCTCGGAGGGCAGATACGATGTCTGCCTCCCCTGCAGCCATAGCTCCTGGAACCTAGTGTTTATTCTGCAAATACCTGTTGGACATGTTGATAACCACGTGCAGATGTAGAGTCTTCTGGGCGCCTTCCCTGGCCGCCCTGACCAGGGCTGTTCTCCCCCTGCCCCGGGCCCCCACGGCTGCACCCAGCCCCTCTGTCCCCTGTACAGAACTGTGTGTGGGGGGGCGTTCTCCACACGAGACCATGGTAGTGTCCTTGAACCTTCTTGACCTGGGTGTGCTCAGCACTGCAGAGTCAGGCGCACAGTAGGTTCTGAGTAATGTCTGTCGGGAGGGGGATGGGTGGCCAGGTGGACAGGTAACCCTGGAGAGCGTTTACCTCCGCACAGAGGTCCCTGAACTTCTGTCCCCACCAGATTGCTCCTGTTAACACCCTTCCTTTCTCCCGGTGCTCGACAGTTCACAACTGTCCAGCATCTCCAGATCGTCCTTCCTGAGAAACTCAGACAACTTGTTGATTGCACCTGCTTGGAAAAGTGCTCCCAGGTGCACGGGACACTTACAGTTACAGTGTTTATTTTTGTACCTGTCAGTTTACAATGTCCCGTCTGCACTGGCCCGAGACAGGGGCTGAGGGCTGGCGGCCTGGACGGAGTGCATGTCTTTGTTAGAGGGACGTAAAGACTTCTAAAACATGCGAATTTATTACTCTCGATTCCTTGGCGTTATTAGTTAATGGAAGCTGGAAGGAGAAAATGAAGAAGACCATGCAGTGGGTGGGACCAGCATTTCCTCCTTTTTTTTTATCTTCACCCAAGGACATTTCTTTCTTGCTTTTAGAGACAGAGCAAAGGAGGGAGGGGGCGGGGGGAGAGAGATCAGTGTGAGAGAGAAACATCAACCATTTGCCTCCCGTATGCGCCCCAATCGGGGATCGAACCCACAGCCCTTTGGTGTGTGGGACGATGCTCCGACCAGCTGTGCCACCCTGGCCGGGCGGCGTGTCCTGCTTTGACCCAGTGGGTTCACGGTCTCACACGAAGGGCTTAGGGAAGACGTGTCAGCCAGGCACTGTGTAAGCTTTAAAAACAGGGATTATTTTCACCTTCCGAGAGACCAGAGCAGATTTAAAATGGCTTTCAAAGCTGCAGCCTTGGGACCATCCCTGCCAACGAACTACAAACGAAACAGGTGAAAGCAGAGTGTGGCTCCGGCGGGACCCGTGGCTGCCTCTGGACGGGGTTGGGAGTGTGCCTGTGAGGTGTTGGCGTGACAACCCAGCAGAACCCGATGCTTTAAAAGGACTATTTGTAACGCATCAGAGCCCCTGGAACTCCACCCGCCGCCGTCTTGTCCATATCGTCCCCTTCGGTAGACTGAGCAAAGCATTCAGAGTGTAAGGCGGTCTCTGGTTTAAATCCCGGGCCTGCCGAGGACCAGCTGTGTGGGCTTGGGCACGCCCGGTGCCTTTCTGTTCTCCTCGAGTCTTTATCCCTTCCTAACATCTACCTGACAACACAGTTGACTCCGGGCCCGGGGGCACCCAAACGGGGATGTTTGCAGTGACCCACGGCCGTGCTGTGTGCGGTAAACCTGCAATGGGCACTAATGTCACTGCCGTCATCAGGGGGTCCTGTTACAGTTCCCGGTAGGGGGGACGGAGCTGTGAGGGAAGCCCGTGACTCTTGCCACCGGTTCCACTTTATCTTCTCTCTGGGTTTCCTGCCAGGACCCAGTAGGCTGCTTCCAGCTACTGCATTTCCTGGTAGACAATGACCCTTGCGTTGTGCCCTGTGTTGCAGCGAAACCCACGTGGAGGACGAAGAAGGTTTCTACGACTGCGTGTACGGGGAGGATGAGGGCGGCGAGGTCTACGAGGACTTGATGAAGGCGGAGGAGGCGCAGCAGCCCGTAGGACTCTCACTTGCCTTGCTGTCTAAGTTACTTTGGGTATTTTATCGGGGATGCGATTATTTGGAAGACTCACTATGATTATTTATGTAACTTCTACTGGGAGAACGTTTCCTTTCTTGCCTTGGCTCATGATATGTGTATTTGATGCTGCATCAAATTTAAAGAATTTATCTGCTTCCGAAGAAAGATGTTCTCTCAAAGCAGTACAATCTCACAATTCTCTGCATTTATGTTTCTTGGTTTCCTTACCAGGAAAATGACAGGATTAGACCAGACATTCCCCACGGTGGTTTGCACCTGTAGAAAAATGGCACATTTCTATGGCTCCAAATGCAGTAACGAGCCATGGGTATATCGTTATAACTACACTGGCCTTTTGGTTATCTTTTTCTTTTACCATACAAGCATTGTTATTTATTTTATTGGTGATGTTGGTTCGCAAAACCGTACAGGTTTCAAGTGTACAACTCAATAACATATCATCTGCACACGGCAAGGTGTGCCCATCACCCCGAGCAAGGTCTCCTTCCATCTGCATCTCCCCCCGCCTTGCCCACCTCCATCTACCCCCACCCCCCTTTCTGCCAGAGAGAAAAGGGGGTTGGGTATGTGTTTTATTAGAAATAGAAACCTTAGGAAAGTCAGCAATAATTTTGATCTCTTTCCAGTTACTACCAGAGAGATTAACACATGAATTTGATTAAATAATTATAATGTGATCATTCGAATTGCAGAAATCTCTAGAAAATGACATACGGAGTTGCTGCCTAACAGAAATTAAGCAGACAGAAGAAAAATACACAGAAACATTGGAGTCCATAGAAAAAGTAAGTATTGATGACTAGGTATCATTCTTGACGCTCCAGAACTGCCTTATGTTAATGTATGAAGCTCAGCGTTTCTGCTGAGTGTCTTCTGATTTTCCATAGAGCTTTGGATTCATAGATCTCAAAGCAGGTTTAATCATCCCACAATTATTTACTTATTGATTTTAGTATCTAAATGGCACTAACCTAGGGATTGAGAAGATAGCAGTGAACACCATAGGACTCTGGTTCTCTGTCATAAAGGGTTTATCATTTAAGCAAATAAATATGTCAGGTGGTGATAAATTCTCTGGAGAGAATAAGGCAGAGGAAGGGGCAGCGAGTGAGGGGGGAGGACTGGTATTATTTTATGTCAGGTGGTAATGGGAGGTTTCTATGACAAGATCATATTTAAGCAGGCTTTTTCTTTTTCTAGGAAAGTACAGCAGAAGAAGCAAGGGTAAGGGATGTGCAGGGAACCGATTTGGATAAAGGTTCATGGAATGTCAGTTGGATGAGGAGGGAAGTGAGGGCATGAGAGAGACGGGATAGTCAGGGATCGGTAGACCCAATGGGGTTGGAGAATTCCTTGAAGGAATAAGTGACAAAGATAGGTAGTAACTGGAAATTAATGCCGTGGAGCTTTTGCAGTTGTTGATGAGATAAGGTCTTGAGATACGACCGCAAGAGTAGGAAGCTGAGCGTGGACGGAGCACACGGTTATTGCAGTTCAAGGGACCCCAGGCCAGGCTGTTCGGAGGGTCATCCCTGCAGACACAGAGGATGCCAAGGAAGAAGATGGGAGTGGTAATGAAGGGAGAGAGACGAGCAGGAGCACAATTCTCAAGGCACGAGGGGCGTGATCCATAAACTGCAAAAGCAGATTATTGATCTCAGGGGTGGAGACCCTCCACGAAACATTTCAGGGATATTTTGAACCTGTTCTCGAAGATTTCTCCAACGTGTTGCTATTTTTTGCTAATTTAGCCAGTAGTATTTTCTTTTTTTAATCTTTCTTTTGGAACTATGTAGTACCTAAACATTTAATGCTATTTATTATTATTATTTTTAAGTTAAATTTATTGGGGTAACATTGGGTAATAACATTATTTAAGTTTTAGTTGCACAATTTTATAACACGCCAGGTGTCTATTCCACTGTGTGCTCACCATCCAAAGTATGTTATGCTTTAAATGTATTAACTTGTATTTATTTGTGTCTTTCTATCTCTGTTCAAGTGTAAAATATTTAAGATAGAGAAAATATAGTGTCTGCTTTTCCTTGGGTATTTGAAATACTGATAAACAACGGACTTTCAATAAATATGTATTGTTTGTTGGTAGAATGTTGTCTTGACGAGCCTGCATTGTGGCTAACTCTTCCTCCTCTCTTTGCTGGCAGTATTTCATGGCCCCACTGAAACGGTTTCTGACGACCGCAGAATTTGATTCTGTCTTCATCAACATTCCTGTGAGTAAAGCCCCGCTCGCTAAAACTGCTGCATTTCTGTAGAATTCTCACTGGGCTCCAAATCCCTTTAGCATCCTCCTGTATTCTTGAAGAATTTTGATTCTGTTTTCTGCCTCCTGAGTTCTTTTAGCTGTTTTCTTGAGAAATAATGGGTAGGTCCAATCTTCAACCAAAAGTCACTCAAAATACCCGCGGAAGACGTGTGGATACGATTCATGTATTTTCCTGAAGCATTTGTCATGACGAGGCATCTCAGTTTAACAGGGGCTCCGGTGTCTGTCCTGGGAGAGTCCCTTCTGCCCCGCTCCCTGTGCTACCCTCCTCCAGCCCCTCAACTTCTCCTGTGAGCACTGTCGTGACTCCTGCCTCCTCTGCGTCCTTCTGTCCTCCACTGTCCTGGGGTCTCTTTTCTGCTTCCAGTTGTACCAGCCTTCACCCCTGTCTCTGAAGTGCCCTGCTTCCTTAGGATTCAACAGTTCATTTTACTGGTCATATGTGAGGAACTTTTATTTTAGGTTTTATAAGCATTTCAAGTTTCAGAGCACCTTCCCAATATCTTATAATCCTAAAAGCATATTTACTTCGAAGCATTGAAACCAGCCAGATGCTATGCTAACTGAGGTCATGCTAGGCAAGACTCAAGTTCTTAGACTTGAGTCTAGCATTGGCTTTGGTTTTAATGTATAGCTTTTTATAGATAATATGTAAGCCCTTATGTATAGGCTTGTTTGTATCTATTTAAAAAGTTTTATTTATTGATTTGAGAGAGAGAAAGAAAGAAAAAGAAAGAGTCATTGATTTGCTGCTCCATTTATTGATGCGTTCACTGGTTGCTTCTTGTATGTGCCCTGACCAGAGATCAAACCAGCAACCTTGGCTTATCAGGATGACACTCTAACCAACTGAGCTACTCATCTAGGGCTAGCGGTCCCTTCTATCTTGATTCCTTTATGTTCACTGTTGACGTGCACCAGTCAGTGTAGTGGTGACCCATTGTTCTTGTCCTTGATTTTGGCCAAATGAAGACATCTCGTCAGTTTGTAAGGTAGCAGGGAAAAGAAGGTCAGGGCGTCGGTGAATGTTTAGGGTGAAACAAAGTGTAGGTCCTGGGAAGAGGAGGCTCTCGAACGCCCTAAGCATGGCCACTGTCACTGCCGGACCACTGGGGAGTTGTTCTTGCAGCCTGTCCATGCTCCTCGGTAGCGTGGCAGGCCCCACGTTCCTGGTCCCTGTCTGCCCTCCTGATTGCCCCTGGGCACGGGGACAGACAGCAGGGTGTTGGCCCCTTGATCCCAGTGTCCTCCTTTCTTGGCCGTGACATGTATTTACTGTCAGGCCGAAAATTACTTGCTTATCAGAAAAAAGGTGCAACCCTGACTTCTGAGTTATTCTGATAAACTGCCTAGTGCAATTTATTTGCTCCTTATTTCTGCCACGAATTGTCTGGTTTCAAGTAATTGAGGCTGATTGTCGTCAGCCGAGCACCAGAACACCGCGAACTGACCAAAGCACGGATCTGCATTTTCACGTCCCAAGGATGTAGGTCATTGCTTATCTTGTCAATAAGACATTAAGCACTTGGGTAATTGTATTTAAAAACGTCAAGTTATTACAAAATGAGAGTGAGCTGTACATATTTTTCTACAAGGAATAAATTATCCTCTAATAACTAGTGAAATAATTTGTTCCCCCCAAAGGACATTGGCATTTCAAGTCAGATCTCAAATTGCTGTTTCCCCCACACACGACTTGTCCCTCTCTCTCCCTCGTCCCTCCCCTGCCCCCTCCTTCTCTCCCATGTCCCCTCCCCCCTCCCTCCCTCCCATCTTTACTGTTGGGAAGCAGGTTTGTTTATGTTCTGAGGGCATTGGGCATATCCTCGAGTCTAGCACCAGCGGGGATTCTGGGTTGGGGGAGGCAGGTTTCTCATTTCTAACTGGCTTTAACATTTGTTTTCTTTTCTAAGGAACTTGTAAAAGTTCATCGGAACTTAATGCAAGAAATTAATGATTCCATTGTAAATAAAAACGACCAGAATTTGTATCAAATTTTCATTAACTACAAGGAAAGGTAACTTTTGAATTTTACATTTTGGGCTCTCCCTTTGCCATCATAGTGAGGGTTACTGTTAACATCGCTCATGGATCGGTATCACTGTCGTTCACCGAGGCCCCACCTGAGCAGTGATGAGAACAAGGGGCAGTCGACCTCCGCGTGGCAGCTGGAGCTCTAGATGTGTATCAGGGGGGAAAAAAGGGAGAAGCAAAGAGGATCCAGACTTTTGTACCCCAAGTCGGTGTAGATCCTTTTATAGCCCTGTAACTCTTTAAAAACTTATTTATTTTTACAGAAGGGGGAAGGGAGGGAGAGAAATATCAACGTGAGAAACATCGCTTGTTTCCCGGCCCACAACCCAGACATGTGTCCTGACCAGGGGTCGAACCAACAACCTTTCGCTTTGTAGAAATGATGCCCAACCCACTGAGCCACAGCAGTCAGGGCACAGCCCAGTCACTCTTGAGTCCTATAGGTTCCAGGAAGTCATATTAACTCTCTGAGCTTCCTCCATCTGGGAATGTAAGGTGTGGCTCAGCTGGTACCTGTTACTTTTTCCAGCTCTAATATTTTATCACTCTCTGTTGTGGAGTATTAGATTTAATACAGCTAAAGTCAGTTGTAAGCTTGAAAAAAAACCCTTCTGAACAACTCATATGAATTAGAAATTTTGCTTACAAGTTTAAACCAAGCCCTATTATTCCTAAGCACTGAGAGGTGGCTGATAAATTTCTTTGCATCAACAATGAGATAAATATTAACTTAGTAGCAGCTTTTTTTTCTGTAATGGAGAGTTTAAGGGACCAATTACTCAGTCTCTTTGCAAAGTGTCTGCATCCCTCCGAGACACCTGTTCTGAAGCAGGCTCAGAATCCACGCCGTGTGGCTCACCTCGCACCCAGGACAGGTCAGGCCTCTCCTCCCACTTCTCGGATGTGGAAGGAGCAGGGGGCTCAGTATTGAATGGAGTAAAAAATGAAACTGTAGTATGAAACGACACTTTCCGAATGTGAGTGAACAGTAAAACGTGGATCTCTGATGGGAGCTTTATCGTTGACATGCAATATTGTATTAGTTATAGCTGTCAAACGTAGTGAGTAGACATTTATACAGAAATTGTGAATTTCTGTACACAGGAACTTACGCAGAAATTGTACATTTTGTTCTGTGATATATATTTGCACTCAATATCGACAGCCATTAAACCAGGTTTTAAAACACACCTGCTATAAAAATGTACGTGAGATGAATCGCATTCAAATGTAGAAATAGAAGTAGCCCTCTTTCAGACAGTACACAGAAGTGACCCTCAGTCTGTGGCTGTGTGGGGGGCATCATGTGTTGAGAAGAAGTGACAAAGCTGAGAGGGGGGACGATGGTACCTGCCCAGGGCGATGTAGGCGGGAGGGGGCGCAGACACGTGGTTCCAGAGAGACTCACGGTGGCCTCCCTGCCCTTCCATGTCCCACCCCCGCCTCCCTCTGTGCCCTTCCCTCCCAGGCTGGTTATTTACGGGCAGTACTGCAGCGCAGTGGAGTCGGCCATCTCGAGTCTGGACAACATCGCGAAGACGAAGGAAGACGTGAAGCTGAAACTGGAGGTGCCTGCTGTTCGTGTGTGTGTGTGCGTGTGTGTGCGTGTGTGTGTGTGTGTGTGTGCTTATTCATGAGAGAGCAGCGCGCTCCCTTTCATGATCGGCGCAGCAGTCCATCTCCCTGTGCATCCTACGTACAATTTCATGGCCATGTCATACAATGCCGTACGGATGGCTCTGTGAGATAGTAACACAACACCGATAACAGCAGTAGGAAAACCTGAGACTGTGGCTCCGTGTTCCCTGGCATCGTCTTGTTAGGTCCTCAGCCCTGTGGGACAGATACAGTTAGTCCCCTTCTGTCAGGGCCGAGAGGGCGGGGTTCGGAGACACTGTCAGTCATTCGCTCCCCGGGACGTCAGAGGTACCGGACAAGCAGGGTGCGTGCAAGATCATGCATATGTAGGTTTAAAGGGCTCATTAGAAGTGTCAGACCTTCAGGGCGGGAGCACAGGAAGGGCATGGACAGTGCCCGGGAGGAGGAAGACGAGACAGACGCAGGTACAAGGAGAGAAGGTGGAGAGTGACAGGCCCCAGTGGACAGGCCTCGTGAGTGAGGCTTTGGGGAGGCGGAGGGTGGGGGGTTTCTCTGAAGGGGCGTGGAGTCAGGTCCCTGAGGAGAGGGGTGCGTCCTCGCAGGTGAGATTCCAAGGAGAGCATTCTGGAAGCATCGGTACGCCTCGCCCAGGAGAGACGGGGCGGTTAGAGAAATGGCTTGCAGGCCATTGAAAACGGAGCCCGTGGTAACAGTGGAAAGAAAGTCTGGGAGCTTGTCAGGTCTTTTCTGTCCGTCCACCTTAAAGACTTTGCACTTTTAAAGAACTTTTGAAGAATGGTTGTTTATGTGTTAGATGAATTGTCGCCTCGAATATATTATCTGTATGTTTGGATTTTGTGAAGTTTCAGGTAGGGCTATGGAGCCAGCTCTTCAATGGCCCTGCGTGGGATTGTTGGCTAAATCCTCTTTGCTGTTTTTTGTTCATTGTAATGGGGAGGCCGGGTGTGAACAGGGGGGTGAAGAGGCGGGTGACCTCCGCATCACAGCCCCTGCACTGTTTTGGCGGATCTGGTAGGGTTTCCTAATTCCTAACTCCCACGAAGTGGAGCTCCTGGTGAGGAAGTTCCCGCGGCACCAGGCCACTGAGTAACTGAGCGGACTCTGTCCATCATGGGGCATTTTTCTCCCCCCCCACAGTCCTCTGCTGATAAGGACCTTCTGTCCGGAGGTGGTCGGAGTCACCCCTGGACAGCCCCCCGACGACCTTGTCAGCGCCAACGGTGCCTCACCTTTTTGGAGGAAGGCACCTCATAAGCACAGAGCTAGAAGCCCTTTTGACTTAAATTAAAATACGAGGGTAAGATAAAACTTTACAACTTACACACCTTGTCTCTAATAAAACTATTGTTAAAGCAGTTTTTAAAAAAAGATACAAATTCTCACCCAAGACAGGAGTGATCAAATTGTCCATCACCTCTCCATTGTGTTCTCAATTGTGTTATCTGAACGTTCCTGCCCCATCTTTCAGAGTCAGGGTCAAAGTCCTGGCCAGTGATGCTCTTCTGAGACTCTAGGTACCCAGCCTCTGCAGTCACTGCCGCTCTCAGGGAAGGGGAGGAGTCAGGCTGCGTTTGCAAGGCTCAGGGCCAAGTGCCACTGGCTGGCTGGCTGCCCTACTCCTGCCAGTGACCACGGGCCTGGGTAGGAAGTGTTTAACCAGATACCCACCACGGCACCTCGACAAGATGCTCTCGGCTGCAGCTGCCCCTGCAGGTCCTGGCTTGTGGAGGCAAAGCTGCCTGATTCTTGGTCTCTCTCGTCCCTTACATCCTCTCTTTTGTGGTGATTTTGCTCTCGTATTTTTGTCTTTTTCTTCTCTACCTTGGAACCAAGAGAACATGGGGTTAAGGGTGATAGAGTCTCTTTATCTCCCCCGGCAAGCTGGCTTGTCCCTAATTTATTGAGTCTTCTCAGTTAGAATTGGAGTTTGGGCTAAGCATGTGACTGGGCATGTGGGAAGAACCATTTCTTCTCTTTGCTTACTTTCAATGCTGGTAAGCATTTTACGCCTCAGTCTCAGGCCCCTGGTTGTAGGAAGACACCAGCCATGTCGAGTTTCTTTACTTTCTGAGCCCGTAACTGGGGACTAAAAGGAACTAATCTCTCCCTCAACAGTTTTTAAATGGACTTCCGTCACATAGCAAAGTGAATTTTAAGAGAACTTTCTGTTCCTAACGCTGTGTTAAGATGCCATAATACAGGAAGTGTAAGAGACGAACTCAACTTTAAGGGGCTTGAAATGCAACAGGGAGGTGAGGCCTATTCATTCCAGTAGAATTAACAGTTTAACCTCCTCTCTGAGGCCCAGGAGCCAGAATGCTCTATAATCTGTAGAAGCAACGACTCAGTTAAAATAGTTTTCTTTCCTGTGACCCGCTGCAGTTGACGATTCATGAGCTAACATTTCTTCTTGTTTAACAGCTGTCATGAAGCCCTCATGAATTCACCCTGGTCATTAGGGCTAGTGGGGTTTGCTTGGTTGCCTCTGATAATATATATTTTTATGTTCCAGGAAAACTCAGTGTGGGCAAAGGGACACAAGGTCAAGAGCTGAGGAGTATTTCTGAGAGCATAACTCCTTCCCTGAGCTCCTTCCAAATTCCTTGGTCTGGGATAGCAATTGCCTGAGGATTTTGGGTTCATTAAATTGCCTGCTAATAATAATCTTTTTATAAAGGCTGGTTTTTTTTTGAACTATACTATAGATGTGTGAGAAGCAGTAAAATCAGAAAAGCAGTTCGTTTAAGGTTAAGTGTCCAAGAGTTGCCAACCTGGAGTTAAATTCAGGCTTTGATACTTTAAACCGTTTTCCTCAAGGTCGTGATTAATATCCAAAGAACAAACAAGTCAATGCTAGTTTAAGATAAACTTTTAAAAAAGAAGAGTGTGAGATTAAAACGAAATAAAACAAAAAACCCTGAGGCTTTTAAAACGTTGAATCAGGTGTTAGGTTTCTACTTGAATGTGTTTCTGGCATCGATCATTCCATTCCATTTGGCTCAGCAAATACGTACAAAGCAGATTCTAGACTCTTGGAGGTATGGGAGATGCATTGGAGAAGGTACTGTGGACCACAGTGATTGAAAGACCCACAAGGCACATGCAGAGAGAGAGCACCATTGTGATTGGAATTATTACCAAAGGCCTAGAAGCGTGGTTCTTGAAGAGGGTGGTGAACTTGGATGGAAACTGGACAGAGCGTGTGGCTGTTGGGAGCGCAGGGAAAGAACCGAGGCGTGGTGGTGGGGAGGGCATGGGCAGATCGTGGGGGTCAAGTTGGGGTGAGGTTCATGGAAGGCAGCGCTGTCAGTGGCGTGGAGGAGACCCTGGTTCTACTCACCGATCATGGTTAGAGCCGAAATGCTCCAAGGTTGGTTTGTTTTGGGGGGTTTTAATTGAAGGCACTTTCAATTTTTAGACAGAAGGCTTGTGAAGAAGGAAAAGAAGACATTTTTATCACACAATAATTGTTTTGTTCATGCCCTTCATGTCTTTTCCTGGCTGTTATATGACTGACTACCTTTGATAAAGCAACAAAGTCTTTAACAAATGTTTTCCTTAAAAATCATTTCACTAGGAATGTTCCAAGCGAGCCAATAATGGGAAATTCACTCTTCGAGATTTGCTCGTGGTCCCGATGCAACGTGTCTTAAAGTATCACCTTCTCCTGCAGGTGTGTGAGTTACACCTCTTTGTTCATGCGTTCATGTATTCATTCAACAGAATGTTAACGAAGCATCATCTACACACCAGGTTCTCTGTGTCTGGGGCCTGACCCCCGTTACGATGTTCAGTTATTGGTAGAGCTAAGTGGGAAACAGTAGAACAGCCGGAGTCTTGCTTCCCTTTTGGCAAAGATGGGTCTGGATCTTTCACGAAGTTGCATTCCGTGTCCTTGAAACAGAACCGGCTCCCAACAAATTTAAAAATTAAAAAAAAAACTAAGGCAAAACAAATGAAAAGATCCCTTCAGCCAAGTCCTTTGTCGTTAGTAATAGTCGCTTATTAAAATCTCAATAGGGTGATATGCCTGAATTTTGCAGAATTCATTCTGTGGGATCTTTGGCCTCATGACCATACGCTGAAGAGAACTATGTCATGTTTCGTTTGGCTTTCTGCTACTGTACATTATCATAAGCCTACATTTATTTTGAAGTGACTCTTGGTATAACCCCAAAGCTTATGGTTTCCATGGTTAGTCTTCTAACGAGGGCGGAGAGTCTTATAAATTTAATTTGATAGCGGTACCAGGAGACCCATTAGTTCCGCTCCAAAGAAACGTCTCACCGTGTTAGTCGGTCAACTCTGCTGATGCTTGTGGAATGTTCTTTAAAAAAAAAACCACTGCCTGTATGTGAAATACCATTTTGAGTCTCCTGTGCTTTGTACGTCTTGTATATTAAATTTCTTAAACCGTAGCCGCAGAATTATTAGTCATCTCTGTTTTTGTTCTACTGAGAAATCAGAAAAATTCAAACCCTGATTATTTCTTAAAAATGCATTAAAACATTCATGAAGCCTAACCTCAGAGCAACTTAATCAAATTGGATTTTATGAAAAAATAATAAGGACGACTAAGGCAATCCGTTTCTGAGACGTCACAGAGCTAAAAACATGTCCAAAATAAGATAACAATTTATTTTGTAACTTGATAGAGTCCAATATCAGTTGAAGAATCGAGAAGGTGCGGTTTTCAAGAAACATCTATTTCTGTCATTGTAAGGTTTTAGACAGACTTATCAAAGTGTAAACTATGACCGTGCTGTGAAATGTAGCGTTTTCCTGAACCCTCCTGGACTCTTCTATCATTTTCAATTTCGAAAGTATGTTTAGTTCCACGACGGTTTTCTTCATAGGCACCGCACACACACATTTTTACTGCAGGAAAACACAGATACGAAATTTGCCACTTTCACCCTTTTAATAAAGTGTGCAGTTCAGTGGCACCAAGTTCATTCACTTTATTGTGTGGCTGCCACCCTCATCCATCCCTGGACCCTTCTCAGTGACCACACTGAGACTCCGCACCCGGGTGACACTAACTCCCCCGGGTGACACTAACTCCCCCCAGCCCCCGGCAGCAAGCATCCCTCTGCCTCTGCGACTCGGACTGTTCTAAGGTCCCCCGTCCGCAGAATCGTCCGATACTTGCCCTCTGGTGGGTGTCTCATCTTCAGGGTGTGTTCAGTGGTAACAGGTGCCAGTGTGCCCTTCCTTAAGGCCGGGTGACGTCCCGTCAGGCACACACCACACTTCTGTCCACTCACCCGCCCAGGCACATTTGGGTGCTTGTACTTTTTGGTGATCATGAATATGCACGTTTATTTTGACTTATATAGATAAATGCCATTGAGAAGAGTTGGAACTTGTACCATGGGATTATAAGGAGATACAAATCCCAGTTTAGTTAAATTAGTTGCGCAGCTGGTTTGGCTGAGTCTCCCTGCCCTGTCCTTTTGTAGACAAGGCCTCGGAGAAAGGTGAAAGCTATGATAATGGCCTTGTTTAGCAGATTTAGATAGAAACAGTACAGATATTACCCACTGGCAGTTTCAGTAAAGCAAGAAATGAAACCGTGATGGTAGCATGAGTTGGATTCTTAGGCCTCAGAGATTTAAATGGAACCGGGCATTTTTTGAAACAGAATTTTTTAAAAAGATTTTATTTATTTATATTTACAGAGGGGGGAAGGAAAGGAGAAAGAGAGGGAGAGAAATATCAATGTGTGGTTGCCTCCTATGCACCCCTTATTGGGGACCTGGCCTGCAACCCAAACATGTGCCCTGACTGGGAATCGAACCGGCAACCCTAAGGTTCACAGCCTGGCACTAAGTCCACTGAGCCACACCAGCCAGGGCAGAAACATAGACTTTTTGAAGTTATAATGCATCCAGCCTGTATGTTTCCTCAAAGATTAATGTGACCCCTACATATGGGCTTGCCAGGAGGAAAGAAAAGGGAATGAAAAGTCAAAGATGAAGCAGTTTTAAAAATTGTTTGCCAGCACGTTTAACATAGCCATACCCTGTGAAACACTAGAACGGTTCTCAGGAGCAGAAAATGTGAAAACAGTGAGGCGTGGCCAGAACCAACTGCGTGGGTCTGGAAGGAAGGAGAGGCTGTAGCGTGAATGGAAGTCCACCGACACAGACGGTGGGTCCCAGCTGTAGGCGGCAGATGGTGCCGGAGACACCCCGACAGTGCACGTGGCTCTGGAGGGCATAATCCGTTCCGCTGCTGCTTGCACAGGCGAAACGTCCCAGAAGGGACACCTTCTTTCCCAGGATGATTTCTTAAAACAGGAAACAGTTTACTCGGGTGCCACACCTAGGTACAGATTCTGGAAGTGTGTTTCCATCTCAAAGTAGTGTAGAATAGAATTTACTTGTCTGATGTTCAGACATTTGTTGAAAATGTACAATATGAGTTTGAATATTTTCTACTTACACTTTACTGGGCAAGTCATTTTGGGAACGCTTTCTGGTTTGAAATCGCAGGTCGATAAAACTAGAATATTTTAGAGTGGGGGATTTGCAACTTTGAGAACAATTCACTGTTAAGAGTTAATAAAGGAAAGGTAACAATAGAAGTAAAAACACGTAAACTTGACGAGTTCACTACGCAGAACAGATTTAATAGCAGAAACAGGATTGGTGTTCAATTCAGCAAAGATTCCCGAGGGCTCCCGGCCGCACACACAGGGTTAGGCACTCAGGCTACTAAACAGCCTCCCTGCACTGGAGAAGCTCGCCCTTCAGACGGGAAAAAGGACACGCAGGCTGCCAAGTAGGATACAATGTGACAGGCACGCAGAGGGACACAGGTGGTACAAATAAAGGCCTCGTTAAGCAGGCCTACGAGGCCGCGTACTTGACGTCTGTCGTAGAAGGCTTCACAGAGAAGTGACTCTTGAACTGGGGCTTTGCAGGTAGAGTAAGAGTCCGACAGGTGGACCAGAGAGGAAGAGTTGTCTGAGGAGAGAAGACAGCATGCCCAGTGGGTTTGGATAGGAGAACAGTGTCTGAGAGTTGCAGCTGATCTGGTGTGGGGACAGCATAGGCTGTTGGTGGCGGGGGCCGGGGTCGCAGAATTCAGATCATGAAGGAGTCCGAGAGGTACAGGCCCCCTGGTTGGTGGCACCAACGTCTAAACAGGGTAGACAGGGTCTGGCTCCCACTTAGAGACTTGGCTCTGCTGTCCATGGAGTGAACGGACTGCAGTGAGGAGGTCAGAGGACCACGCAGGGACCTGTGACTGTGACCCATTTGAAAGGAGAGTGGACCTGACCCAGGTGGTGGCCGGGAGGATGGCGTCTAGGGGAAGGGTTGCCACAGAGTGTCTGGGAGACCGCTCTGGCTTTGGCTGACGTGGTTAGACTGACGGACGGACTGTCATACAAGAGCAGGGTTGTGGGCGCAGACGCCCAAGGTCTGTGCTCTGTGTCCGATTGGTTTGGGTCATGAGGCGGTCCCTTTTTCAGTCGTTTGAGGAAACGCCATACTGTCTGTGGCTGCACCAAATCTGCACAAAAGGGTTTGTTTTTAAGTGTTTTCTTTCTTGTGTTTGGGTGTTAATTTGATGAAATCAGTGCTAAACTGTATCTTCTGAACAGGAACTGGTCAAGCACACCACCGACCCCGTGGAGAAGGCGAATCTGAAACTGGCCCTCGATGCTATGAAGGTAAAGCAACGCGCCACAGCCTGCTTGGTGTTTTTTCCTCTTGCGTGGAAACAAGAGACTACAAACTGTTCATACGTGTGTGTGTGGCGTGTTGACATATATTATAATAGATACTATTATTTGTATAGTTTTGTTTTGGTGGGGAGGGCTAGACATTTTTTAAAAATATTTTATTTATTTATTTTTAGAGAGAGGGGTGGGAGGGAGAAAGAGACGGGGAGAAACATCAATGTGTGGTTGTCTCTTGCTCGCCCCCTACTGGGGACCTGGCCCAAGATCCAGGCATGTGCCCTGACTGGGAATCGAACTGGCAACTCTTTGGTTCGCGGGCCAGGACTCAATCCACTGAGCCACACCAGCCAGGGCAAGAGCTAGATACTTTTAACTGAAGTGAATATACTTACATGAATTTAATTGTTATACAAAAACATGTAAAACCAATAAATATATTAAAATAACTTTTGTTACTTGTGAACCAATGACAACATCCATAACCTCCAGGAATGACTTCATGTCCTGCTTCTCTGTGACACTCTCTGTATGGTTACAAACAGAAAGCTGGTGACTTCAGAGCGCAGGTGTGACTTTCTCGGGTGATGCCATCTGCCAGGGTCCCCTTGGTGGGCACTGTGCACCGGCACCCGTGAGTTTCAGTTTAGGTTTCTATTTTCAGGCAAATCTGAGAGTCAAGAACAACAAGTAGCTGGAGGTAGACTTTCTAAACATATGGGGAATGTGTAAAACCCAATTTCCATGTGATGCTGGACTTGGACTTTGAAAGAAATGTTTGTCCCCAATTTAAAACACAAGCAGATGTGTCCTCCAAACAAGATGCCAAGGGGACTCTGCTCAGGAAAATGATAATGACTTCCCCGTGTCCCCACGCCTTTCCGAGTTAGCGCAGCCAGTGAGCTGGCTTCAGCACCCTGTCAGGAAGTGCCCCGCAGTTACTTATTGTCATAAAAAAATCACGCCACATCTAATTTTTAAAGAGATCATTGGTATTGTAAGCGCATCCTATGAAAAGTCTGACTTTCATTTAGGACGTGGAGTTAGAGGCTGCCTTTTGTCAGAGTTCTCTGTCCCTCCTGTTTCAGATGAATTGAAGAGAATAGAGGGAGGAGAAAGAACCCAGAAAGCAGGAAAAATCCAGAGCACGTAAAATAAAAATAGCTAGTTACAGGGTGGAAAGGTTAGCTGATGTTTCCCCCAGAATGAGAACAGATGTTTTAAAATAGGCGAGGGGGGCACAGGGAACCGCAGGGCCAGCGTTCTCCGGTCACTCCGAGTTCTCTGCTGTCTCCTTCCCTTCTTCGTTATTACATCTTCAGGAGGGAGCTGGCTCCTTGACCGGATGCTCTGAGGAGCGAGGACTAGCTGATTGCAGAAAACACTCCTGCCAGATTCACCATCCGGCTTTTAGTGACTTTTTTCTCCTTGCTGTCTTTAACCCTTTAAAATTTATTTATTGATTTTTAGAGAGAGAGGAAGGGGGGGGGAGAGAGAGAGAACCATTTGTCGTTGCACTTAATCACTTATCCATGCATTCACTGCTTGATTCCTGTATGTGCCCTGACTGGGGATTGAACCCACAACCTTGGTGTATCAGGATGATGCTCTAACCAGCTGAGCTACCCAGCCAGGGCTTCAGTGAGCCTTTATTACTTATTCCAACCCAGGTAAGATGTGATTCTCTCTAGGTCTGTTGTTCATGTGTTTGGAATTCAGATGCTCTGGACCAGTTCTGCATGGGGGTATATTTTGTTTTTTATCCTGATCCTCCTTGGGCGTGTGGAGGTGACAACGTACCAGTCTTCCCGGCGGTCCTGCAGACGTTTTTAAGTGGCTCTTGACGAGGAGCTTTGATTGATCGGGCGTTCATTTGATTGCCACCGGAAAGCCACGGTCTACTTCTGCTGCTCATGAAATTAATGATGTGTTTTCTTTCAAACGGTTCTCGTCTCTTCTCCGATCTTATCGTGCCTTCTTTTTGTCCCCGTCTCTTTATTCTTTAGGACTTGGCACAATACGTGAACGAAGTGAAGAGAGATAATGAGACCCTTCGTGAAATTAAGCAGTTTCAGCTCTCTATAGAAAATCTGGTATGTAATCATGATCCAGTTCTCCCAGCTCCCCTAACCCGCACACGGAGGGGCGCTCCCAGAGTTGTGTTGGAAGGAAAAATGAAGTTTCTGGTTCTAGTTTGTCCCCCGACTCCTGTGTGGCAGCCTCCGCATGGATGTCTAGTGGCACCTGTGACAAGTCACTGACCAGGGACTTTCTGCCATCGCTTGTTGCTCTCGCCGTAGTCCCACTTCGTCTTCTTCCCCAGCAGTCAGGTCCTGAACCTCGGAGTCCAGTGTTTCTCTTCCCTGCCTCATCCAGGACGTGCTTGTGTCTGATTCCCGTCCATTTCCTCATGTTATGTGTATTTGCTGGGTGACTACCACAGGCCAGATGCTTTGCTTGGGGCTGGGGCTGTAACTCCAAACCACACGGTGTCCTGGGGGAGGCGCCAGGACAGAGAGGGTTTAAAAACGCTATTTCGAGATAATGCAGTTTGCAGGGCCATACAACCGAGGATGCAAGGGGAGTCCCGGTTTGGATACGTGGTTAGGAAAAGCCCTTCTGAGTCACTTGCCTCTTGACCCTGAAGTGTAAGAAGAGGCCATTGGTACAAGGATGGGGGGCAGGGGGCGGGAGAGGATTCCAGGCAGAGAAACGCCCAGAGATGAGCAACAAGCCAGGGGCGGTCCCAGATGCTGGCAGGCAAGAGTGTCAGGAGATGGAGATAGAAAGGCAGAGTCGGGGGGCTCTGAAGTGGGGCGCGGGGGGAGGACCCCACACCGCAGCCTTGTAGGTCATAGGTCGCGGTGCTCAGATGGGGTTTTGTGGTGATTGCAGTTTTTCTCCCAGAGTTTTACAGTCTGATGTGCATTTCAAGAAACCCTTGTAGCAGCCAGAGCTGGAAGTTGTTGAGGTTATTATGAGGGAGGGGAGGAGGCCTGGGTTAAGCGGCGGGCAGTGAAAATGGAGACAAATGAGTGGATTTAACATGCTTTGCTTGGTAGAGCAGTTGTACTGCGTCTCCCTCCGAAACATCTTGTGCCTGTCTCTTTCTTTTCACATCCACGACAGCTCCCTCACTTCCAGACCTCACCTGCCTCCTTTCCAGTGAGTCACCAGCTCTTCCCATAGTTAAGTTTCCAAAGGTGGACTTCTCAGTTTCCTCTCTTTCCCAAACTGGTCAGAATTGTCTGTGGCCTTCAGGACTCAGTCAGCAACATCTACATCCCTCCCTGATTTTCCTGAACTGCCCACGCACTTCACCTTGCACCTGCCCTGCTGTGTTGGAAGGTCTCCAGTTTGCCAAACACGTTTTTTTTTTTTTAATAGCTCTGCCTTGGATCATAATATTGTCAGAGCCTAGAATGTCTTTCTCCACAATGTCTGATCAAAATTCCTTCAAGGTCCAACTTAAATCTTTTCCCTAATCTCCCATGATCCCTTTCTCTTTGTAATGACCTAACACGTTGCCTGGACAGCCATTTAGCCATTTTTTAAAAAAAAATTGTAGTAAAATATATGGAACATTGAGTTTACCATTTTGAAACGTACAGTTTTGACATTAAGTACATTCATGTTTTTGTGCGGCCAAGTGCACCCCTCCCCCGCCAGAACTCCTCCTCTCAAAACCGAAGCTCTGTGTTTCCATTTCCCCGCCCCCCCACCCCCAGCCCCTGGCGCCCACCCTACTTCCTGTCTTTATGAGTCTGACACCATGTGAACCACGTGTGAGTGGAACCGGGCACTGTTTGTCCTCCGAGGGCCTCCGTGGTGGCCGGGGTCAGTCTTTCCTCCTTTCCTTTTTTAGACAAGAATTTCCTTTTGAAGGTTGAATACTGTAACGTGGGTGGGACACACGCCACATACCTCCGCTCGTCTGTCTGTGGCCACGTGGGCAGCCTCCCCCTCTGGCGCCTCTCCTGAGACTCTGCTTCCACGGCTTCTGGTTAAACACCCAGAAGTGGGGTTGCTGGATTGTGTGTAATTCTGTTTAATTTTTTGAGGAATAGCCGTATGGTTTCCCACCATTTTATGTTCCCACCAGCAGTGCCCAGGAGTTCCAAGATCCCCTCATTCTCACCGACACTTTAAAAAAAGATCGTATCCATCCAAGTAGCTGTGAAGGGGTATCTCACTGTGATTTTTTACTTTTCATTTCCCTAATAATTAGGGGTATTGAGCAACTTTTCATGGGCTTTTCGGTCATTTGCATATCTTCCTCAGAAAAATGTCTATTCAAGCCCTTTGCCTGTTTTTGAATCGTGGTGGTGGGTCATAAGAACTCTTTATACGGATATCCTTCTGTACAGTGGTAAGAACAGCAATCCTTGTCACCCTTTCATTTCCAAGTATTTCCTCCCACTCTGGGAGTTGGGTCTTCACTTGGTTCATAGTGTCCTTCGATACCCCAGATGTTTAATTCCAACTTCCCAATCTTCGGCTTTGTTGCCTGGCTTTTGTTGTCCAGAACATCACCGCTGAATCCAATATCATAAACTGTCCCCCATTTTCTTCTCAGCATTTTATATTCTCAGATCTTTGATACATTTGGAGTTAATTTTTGTTTACATTGTAAGGTAAGCTTCCAGTGCATTCCTTTGCTGGTACATATCCAGTTTCCCCAGCACAGTATTTTTGGAAAGCCTGTCCTATCCCCACTGAGTGGCCTTGGCTGCCTTGTCAAAAAGCATTTGGCCATATATGTGGGGACTTCTTTCTGGGTGTTCTGTTCTATTCCACCAGGTTCAAAGTTGGTCTTCATGGCAGGGCCACACTGTTTTGATCATGATAGCTTTACAGTAAGTTCAGCAAGCATGAGACCCCAACTTTGCCTATTGTTTTGCCTATGAAGGGTCCCTTGAGATTCCATATGAATTTTAGGGTGGTGTTTTCTATTTCTGAAAAAAATGGAGATTTTGATAGGGAATATTTATTTTTATACTTTCTTAGAGTATAGTTAATTGCATATGTCTCCTTTATTAGATGTAATCTCTATACGTTAGTGCTAATTTTTAGTCAATTCTTTTTTCCCTCAGCACTTTGTATAGTAGGTGCTCATAAACACAATTATTTTTATTGTCTGCTTCTGGGGAAATGCTCATTATTCTACTTTAAATATTTTAATTTTTCAATTACAGTTGGCATACAATATTATATTAGTTTCGGGTGAACAACATAGTAAACACAGTGGTTAGACATTCATATACCTTATGAAGTGATCGCCCTGAGAAGTCTGGTCCCCGTCTGACACCATAGTTATGACAGTCACCGACGACATTCCCTAGGTCACACTTTACATCCCTGTGACTGTTTTTATAACTGGAAATTTGGACATCTTGACCCCTTCCGCCTTTTCAGCCATCCCGCCCCCCCATCCGGCAGCCAACAGTTTGTTCTCTGTGTCTGCAAATTTCTGTTTGTTTGTTCTCTTTGTTTTTTAGATTCCACGTATTAGTGAAATCATGTGGTCTTTGCCTTTCTCTTTCTGGTTTAGGTCGCTTAGCACAATGTCCCCTATGTCCACTGCAGCGTTATTTAGAATAGCCACGATACGGAAGAAGCTTAAATGGCTCATTATTTTTAATCATTAAGTCAGAACTTTTCCTTCTTGAGATCTCAGTCAGGGGCCATCCTGGATGCCCTAAACGGAAGTAGGGCCCCCAGTTCTTCCTTCCTGGAAATTGCACGTTTGTACTGACAGACGTCGGTATGTAGCTGGTTCCCACACTTACGTCCCGTGTGGGCGGGGCCTGTATCATTCCACCCCTTTACGGTGGCTGGCACACAGTGGGTGGCCAATAAACATTAGTTGCTGTAACTTCCTTGTTATCCGAACTCTTACAGTTATTTGTGTCTTTGGGTAGCTAACTTCCTCATTAGGGCTCTAAGTAAAATTAATTAATGTCCTCAGTGCACCTCCTAGGAGGACCAAGGACAGACTGGTTTTGAAAGTGTACCGCAGAGATCTGAGCTTTACAGAGTAAGTGTGTTAAAAATGTCCACATGATAAAATGCATAGTGTAATAAAGTAGTTGTTCTTCACGAATATCCTCACTAACATTCTGCTTCTGTGTGACTATGAAAAAACTGAGACGTGTGAATTTTATGTTCTAGAACCAACCAGTTCTGGTTTTCGGACGGCCGCAGGGAGATGGGGAGATTCGGATCACCACCTTAGACAAGCACGCCAAACAGGAGAGGTGAGGGGAGGGATCAGAGCGCGTTTTCAAAACAGGTCGTTAGCATCAGAGGATTGCGAAGACCTTAAAACCAATTTCTCCAGGACAAAGGAGGGACACAAAGGGAGAAAGACAAGGGAACAAACAGCCTGCTGTTTTGTAAAAAAATTCTCATACAGATAGATTAGGTATTCCCTCTGTTCTGGTGTCTGTTGATGTAGCTAAATTTAAATCCCTTAGTGGGAAATGGAAATATATGATGTCAGCTGGGGTAAGAAAAGTGCCTATTAAATTGAGGGGAGAGATGACAGAACAATAGATAGCTACTGTTAGAAACACAACTGTTTAATTTTTTTTGTATACATTTAAAAAAACTGAAAATAATACAAAATGCCCTACGAAAAAAGTCTAAGTGAGGACCATTTCATGGGAATTTCTGGAGGGAAATTTGTAGGTGGTGCCCTTGAAGATGAGTAAGCTTGTCCTCTGTCTCTAATCCCATACCTGGGATTTTGGTTGAAATGGCCATTTTCTGGAACCTTTGGAAATGAGAAAGTCAGCCAGCAGGGGGCAGCATCAGCCCTTACTTCCACCCAGACATCCAGGCTCGCTAGTAGCTCCCAGGAGACCCTAATGTCCTTTCAGCAGCTCCAGGAAAATAGGCTTTAAGTGATGCAAATATCAAAACCATACAAATGCATCCTTCTCGTTGTTTTAAAAAACGTGTGCGTGGAAATCACTGAGAGTTTTCAAAAAGTTAAAATTCAGTATTGGTACTGGATGATGGGATTATAAAGTCTCCTCCACCCCAATTACATTGTTTTTAATAAGAAAGAAGAGAAATAGCAACGTGTAAATTTAACTGTAAGTTTTCTGGTTTACATTTGGCTCACGGACCACTCAGGCTGTGTCTCAGGAGGTCCCTTAAGTCGTGAGGAGCGACCTGCAGGGTGAAAGCAAGGACTGGTTAGACCCAGTGCTCAGCAGCAGCGTGACCTCCAGCTGTTTGCCCTCTGAGCCTCAGTTTCCCCTGCAGTGAACTGCTGGCATCTGCCTCCGTGCCTGGTCCTGGTGACGTAAATGATCGTTGCGGAAGGCGGGAGTGCTCCAGGTGTTCCAGCTGACTCCTGATAACGTCAGCGGAAGCTAACTGCCCTTGTTGTCGTTAATATCATTCTGTCAGGGTTTAGCTTTTAAACTGAAAAAAAAAATTTAATTGTTCAGGGGCAACACTTTGTGGCTGATGTCGATGATTTCTTACAGCTGCGTGGCAGGGTGCCTAGTGTTCTCAGGATTTTGCCTGTTTTTTCGAATGAGGAAACTGAGGCACAGGGAGGCCCTTCATTTAGTGAAGGGACAATAGGGGCACCGGTCATCGTTTCCCGAGTGCAGCGGGCCGTTCGTTGCCTGTCCCCCGCTGGGAAAATGTTTGGTTGAATTAAATTTACAAGGGAAGGACTAACACCTGCTCGCAAGCCATGTTGACACTCTCGCGCTCTCTCTCTCTCTCAGGCACATCTTCCTGTTTGACTTGGCCGTGATCGTCTGCAAAAGGAAAGGCGATAACTATGAGATGAAGGAAATAATAGACCTCCAGCAGTACAAAATCGCCAACAACCCCACGACCGATAAAGAGAACAAGAAGGTGAGTTCTTGGAAGTTAGCAACTGTGATTTACTCGTAACGTGGAGCGTGCGAGGAAAGTGTGCTGATACACTCACGGGGGCTTAGAGATTCAGGTGTGTCTATTACTAGAAATTGACTAGGAAATGACTGGCCAGGGTCGCAGCTGATAGGTTCATCTCTAACGCTTTAATGATCAAGACAGTAAAATGCATGAGACCTAGAAATCGTTAGAGCTGCGGGGTTGACCCCAGTAGCCTGGATTGGTCCCAGTTTGTTAATGGTGCGAGAGGCTTGCGGAGGATTATGGTAGTGTTTTAGTGAATTTGGAAACATGGGGTCATGAATGCATGATCGTATTAACCTGAGGAATATTAATTTTAACAGTGGTCTTATGGCTTCTACCTCATCCATACCCAAGGACAAAATGGGTTAGAATTTTATTGCAAAACAAAAGATTTAAAGAAAAAATGGCTGGAACAGTTTGAAATGGCTTTGTGAGTATTTCTACTTTTAAAAGTGCTCTTTTCCCCCTATTGCCTAAATCTTTTGTGAATAATGAATGATCAGTAAATGTGCTCTGGTGCTCGGGGCTCCTGTTCGCAGGCTCCCACACACTCTGCACTCTGTGGGCTGTTGGGGGTCCCGGAGGAGAGTGGTTCGGGTGAATTTCTTCAAGGAAAAGAAAGAGGGCGCTCTAGCCTTCCGTTTGACATTTTCCTCCCTGTGTCTTCTAATTCTGTAGCTTTCCATGGCTCATGGCTATATTCATTATCCTAAGGATAAACTTTTAATGAAATTACCATGTTTTTAATCTGTATTTTTAAACTGACTACAAACCCCCCTCCCCCCAACACAGGCACATTTATACACACATACACACCTTATTTTTAGTAGAAAGATGGATTTCCCCCAGTGTTTGTTTGTAACTCATTTATTGTTTGAATCCTGGATAAATTGCTTGACATAGTCAATGAATGCTTTAAGGGCTTGATTTCTTTCAGGGTTCTTTCCTTTTATCGAAGTAGAAGCTTAACAAAGAGGTGGGAAATAATTCAGACGTGCTTCCAAAGGAACGGCACAAAGAGATGTAATTACACCAGAACACGCCATGATAGGGGTTTCTTTTCCATTTTGATGTTCATGGATTAAAAGGTGCATAATGACCCTGGTTATGGAAACACATAGGTCACCTTGAAATGGAAACTTAGCGGAAGGTGAGAAAGGAAGAAAAACCACTTTTGTGATTTGCTTTATTTTTATTCTGGCTTGTTTACAATGTGCAGACAAATCCTATCAGGTTTTTCTCTTTTTCTCCTTTGTTTTAAGAAACGCCTGTGCTAATCTGAGATGGTGGTGGGAGGGGATTGTTTTACTGCAGTTCTGCCGTGAGATCGTGGCGGTTTCCTTAAGATTATTTCATGCACCATTTTGAGTGGCAGCCTTGGGCAGCTGAAATACCTTTAAGCTGTTCTGGGCTCCTTGATGATTGCTGCCCTGAGCTGGCTGCCAAGTCTTAGCCACACTATTTAACTTCTGAGAGCCTCGGTTTCCTTCTCTGTTAAATAGGGATAAGAGGAACTCGAATTCCAGAGAACGTGTGTCAGGCAGAGAGCTAGCCCCGCAGCACAACAGCAGTCACACGGCATTAAACAGTACTGATACCTGTTGTCACCACTATTATTATTAGTATCTTGTGTTTAGGATCCCAGCACGGTACCGATGAGGTCTTATCAACTTAGAGGGCATCTTCTGGGGTACCGTTAGAGCTCTTGCCATTTATTGTTATTTATCGTAATGATGAAACAAAAGACATTGCATGAATTCGGTGGCTACACCACAGGAACTCCTTTGGTTTGGGGTGCAGGCGGCCAAGTTGGTGACATCTGTCCAGTGGGCTCTGTCATACATCTGGTGTGCTGCTTTGGTGAGGTGTCCAGTGACAGGTAGCTCTTGAGGTCGGGTGGGTAGAACTGGAGCAGCAGGAGGCAGGGGCTGAGCTCAGGCCTTTGCTTCTGTGGGGAAAATGCCAGGCTGGTGTTTTCTCAACGGCCCTGTTCAAACGTGTAACCAGATGAGTGAAGGAATTTCTGCAGAGGAGGGACGTTAAACTTCTTGTCCAGAGCAGACCTGCGGACTTGGACTGTGGGGTGGGTGTATCAGTTAACACAGGGCGGGGCAACCGCAGGTTTGTGGTCGTTCGTGTGGAAAATGATACAGTCAGTAATAGGTAATCCTGCACAAATAAACTCTGGGTTCCGTGTACTTGCAACTGTAAACCGACTTTTGCCCTGCCCTGTATTTTGTTCCGTTGCCGTGAGTCACGCAGCTGCACTCTGGGTCAAGCCTGGACGAGATGGTGGTTACGCCTCTGTCATGAAAGGGGCCTGGGGCAAGCAGATGTGGGAGGGATGGTGGTTCTCCTGGGCGTGGACTGGCCCCGGGCTCAGGTCTTCCCCACTGTGCCTCGATCAGCAGCGGGCTTCTGTCCACAAGGCTGGCGACCTCGCCGTCCCAGACAGCTGCTGGAGTGCCAGCTGTAGAATCCCCATTCCAGGTGGCAGAAGAGGGGCTCTCGTGCTTAAGGATCCTCGGCAGAAATGCCACAAACCTCTGTTACATTGTACTGGCCCGAACTCAGTCACGTGGCCACATCCGACAAGGAAGCCCGGGGAATATAATCGCTATTCCAGGCAGGACGGTGCTCTGCCGAGAACCGAGGTTGTGTTACTGTGGAAGGAGCGGAGATGGGCTCACAGAGGAGCAGAGAGGGTGTCCAGATGACACTGTGGGTGGCGCTTGTTCCACCGCAAGGATGGAGGCTGTGCTGCACTCGGGGCACCTGGGACCCTCAGCTGTGAGGCTTTTCCAGGCGTCTCAGCAGGACAGTGAAACGGCCATAGATGTCAGTGGCTGTCAGTGAGGGTTCCGAGGACTGACTGCCCGGTTACATGCCAGACAGTGGGAGTATCTTTTAAATTTTTTTTTATTTTTAACTTATTGATTTGAGAGAGAGGGAGAGAGAGAAATAGATTTGTCGTGTATTTAGGCATTCATTGGTTGGCTCTTCTTTTTTTTTAATCCTCACCTGAGGATATGTTCATTGATTTTACAGAGAAAGACACAGAGAGAGAGAAGAGATGTAAAATAAAAACATCGATAGATTGCCCCTGTATGTGCCCCATCTGGGGATTGAACCCACAACCCAGGAGTGTGCCCTGACAGGGAATCTAGCCCTCCACCCTGGTGTATCAGGGTGATGCTCTAACCACCTGAGCCACCCAGCCAGGGCCATTGGTTGCTTCTTCTGTGTGCCACGACTGGGGATTGAACCCACAACCTTGGCATATGGGAATGATGCTTGAACCAGCTGATCTACCCAGCCAGGCAGCCAAGGCAGGGGGTAGTTTTCTTTGAGAATTGCTCAAAGGTGACGTCAAGGGCTTCCGCATGCAGGGATTAGGCTGTGCCCGGCAAAATTAAATCACTCAGGGTTTTATTCAAGCCCTAGAATATTCCATTATCTTTTTTCTTCCCCTCTTTTCCTGAAGCTCGTTTGGCTGGAAAGCCCTGCGCCCCCCACTTTGTAAGACAGCCAGCCTTGCCTCGTCTTGTGCTCAGCAAGTTGGAATAATTTGAAGGCATCACTCAGGGTTCGCCTTTTGCTACTTTAAGCCCATTTTCTGAAGTTTTAGTACTCTCATTCGGCCAGACGTGGAGGGCAGCAGAGAGAACCGAGACACCCACAGGGTGAACAGCACCGGGGGAGAACAGCGACCCCTGAGCACACACGCCGGCTCCTTCCAAGTGTCCTGAGCAGCGGCGCGGGTCCCGAGTCCTCCTGGACCATTCCATGGTGTCACCGGAAGGCACTCTGGGAAGGGAAGGGAAGGGAGGCATTGGATGGAGGCTGGTGGGGAATCAGGGGAGGTGATATTTTAAGGCTGATGAGATGCTTGCCAGTTCTATTTAGAGAAGATGGCAACTCTGCTGTTTATAGGATGATTGGATCATTTTTATTTAAAAAAAATTGCAAATCACCTTTAAGGCGTGAACACTGCTCTTAATTTAGAACGTTCAAAAAGACCACAGGGAAGCACGAAAGCCGATAGAACAGTAAGTATCCAGTAACACGAATTCTCTTCGGCGGCCGGTGGCCTGCCCCTCAGCCCCGGTCTTTCCCAAGCACGTCCTGTCCCAGCTCAGGAGCTGCTTCCTCCAACCGCCTTTGGCCAGAACCGCTTCCAGCAGTTGGGAGATGCCGGGGGCCACACGCGAGCTTGGCAGACCTCCGTAAGGAAGGCTGAGTAAAGAGAGCAGCAGCAGTGACCCACTTGGAAACGGCAGGAAGCGGGGTGTTTTGTTGTCGTCATTTTAGTTTTGCCCTTGAGCTTGTGGGATCCGTCACTGGGCCAGGCGACGTTTGAGAGCCGCAGTCCTGGCGACTCCGCTCTACAGGCCGTGTTTTTTGAGTCTTTAAGAGACAGGCTGATGCACGTCACTTACTCTGATTTATTTCCAAAGGGCCTTTTGTCACTGTTGCTCACAATTCCACTTTGCTATCTCGTGAAATAGGATGGCAAGCGTTTTTTATCAGCAGAAGCCAGTTCGCGCTGTATCAGAAAAATGTGTGCCTACAGCAAGGACCAAAATATTGCCGCGAAGCTGTGTCCGTGTCTCCCCCGGGCCCTTATACCTGGTGGGTGTGCATGAGTCCTGTTAGATTTACGCGAATGAACATTGTCATGTGCATGTCATAGCTCAGGAAAGTGGCCGTCACAGGAGCATTTCAGCAACTGTGGGCGTGTTTGCGGCCATGGCCTTCATGGCGGAGTCCAAGGTCTCAGGTCTCAGTGTTTTCTTCATCCATGAAGGCCCTAAAATAAGCACCTGACCTCCAGTCCTTTGTCTCAAACTGGAGTCGGGTTTCTTTTTTCTCTGCACAGCAACTAGGACCTGGAGGACCGGGCAGTTCCTTTGACGGTTTCAGAAATACGTCAAAGTTGGGTCAAATTAAGAAATAAAGAAATTGGGTCATAGAATAAGAAGACTTTTTTTTTTAATGGATGAGTTAGAGGAAGAAAAAAGAGGAGGGAGAACAGTGTTATTGCCTGTGGTAGAAAATGGTAGATTCTGAACCAGCCTTTACAGTGTTTATCGGACAAAACCAGAAGGCCCTCTTGCCTGGCATCTCTTCTGAGGCGCTTGGCCGAATGCTGGACATTCTCACCGTTCATAGTTACCCCCTTGAATGAAGGGGCTTTGACGGTCCATACGCATTCTTACCGCTGTCTAGGAACCCTCACTGGGCATCGTAGGCCACGCCACATGAATCATCTAAGGGCCAGTAACCCAGAAAGCACGAAGGTCTGCTGAAACGGGGGCCCAGGAGAGCTAGCTGTTAAATGCTAAGAGTAGGGGGCGCAGGGAGAAGAGAAGAAGAAGGTGTGGAAGTTCTAGAGCTGGAGAGGGGCTCGGAGACCAGGCCGCACGGCCA